TATCTCCTTCAATTATGAAATTACAGAAAAAAATAACATACATACTAGATGATTAAAAATGATAACATATACGATGTTATGCGATATTGTAAGTGATTTTAATTAAATACTAAACACTGTTTACACGTACAGTCTTGTCCTCAGTAATGTTGACTTTTATTCCGTGTACAGATAAAGTGTAGATGTTTATTATTTGGCGTATGCCTTGTTTCCTATTTGGATAATATACCATTATAATCCTAGCATTTGTAACTAAAATCTATGCTAAATTATAGAAAAAGTATTAAATTAAAAATTAATAATATATTTAATTGCGAGAAGCAGTTTTGATTATTAGATTGACTTTTACCCCAAAACAGATACAGTTCTTTTACCGTAAAAACTACCAAAAAGACTATTGTCACCCACATTACAGCACAGAAGAATTTTGGCATGTTTTCACGTGTCTCGTCTGAGTTATACCGGTTACACCGATTCCGCCTTGAAGCAGCTATGTCTGTAGTGTATATAGTTCGAGTGTATATGGGTCTGAAAGGTAACATGTCCAGCACAGTTATTGTCACAAGAGGCGTGCCCCAAAAAGTATAATACTCTAGTGCATAGTCGAGCATCTCAAGTTCTATAAAGTTTTCTCTAAAGGCTACTAAAACGTGTTTTTTTCTCGATTTCTTTACAGCCAGCAATGCGCACGTGGTACTTCTAATGTTCTTGGTGTCAATAGACTACGGTAACAATTTAGTATCAGATGTCCGCTCTATTGCTCGTTTTGTGCTATAATAAAAAAGCTCAATGGTGTTGCATGATATGTGTCACTGATATGTGTGATGATTTATGACTTAACTGTGGTTATCAGTTTGTATCTGGTGGTTACATTGTTTTGTAATGCAGAGAGAATTGTTAGTAAAAGGGAGGGCCAGTGTTCCTTTGATATTATCTAATATATATTTTAAGGTCAACTTCCATGAGGGTATCATCATAGAAATGATGTTCTTGGCTCTAATCAATTCGTTAGTGTTCCACTAAGTGACCTAACTTTATGTTTACTTAACCTCATTGTCGTCTTATTAAGTTATTAGCGTAAACATTAGTATAGACAGCCTTATCATTTTTTTATCATCTAAAAAATATTTTACATTCATATTATATAGTATATTTCAACGCAGTAGTCTTGGATAATTAGATTTTTTAACCGACATCAAAAAGAAGGAAATTCTCAATTCTGTATGTTTTTTTTTTTAATGTTTGTTATCTCATAACTTTATCAGTTGTAAACGGGTTTGAATTTTTTTTTTATCTAAAAGATATACTTACAGATTGGTCCCATATAAGTTTTAGTTTTTAAAACAAAATAACTGGTTTTGCCACAATTTAATTCGGTATTTTTTGTATAGTACAATATTAAAAATTAAATAAACGGTGCTTTAAGCATACTCTATTCACGTTTACAAACACCTGGCTATGAAGAGTAAGTATATGAGTTAAAATAAATCAAGTTAGCAAACAATGTTAAGTACCAAAAGAAAGTAGGTTGATATTTGCAAAGACAAACACTAAAGGCTACGCAGATGAGAAATATTCTTAGGCGTACTTTTTATTCTTCGAAATAGATATTTAGAATGACACGAACATGGTAATGTAATGTTAGGTTCCTAAACATTTCTTTTTTAGTTTTTACTTATATCTTATAACGAGTAAAATTGAACTCGCAGTCTTATATTATTCTCAAATTAAGTTAAAAACGGAGGGGAAAACTATTGTAAACTTCATTCTAATCAAGAAGCCATAAAAAAAGGAAATTCGTATTCTGCCGTTGTTAAACATGCTATAAAACTCAGTAGGACTAGTGAAAATAGTTAGGTACCTTGCTATATGTTAACAAAAGCAGCATTGTGTCATGTTTAATTATTAACGCGCAGCGGTAAACTGGAATTAATGAGTGGTGCAACTAAACGGTGCGATGGATTAACTCAATAATGAGGCTCGATGGCAAGGTGTCAATGACCGGCAACTAGCCTTTAACAATATTAAATTTAATCTATTAATATCAATAAACATCAATTGTAATTAAAGAATTGCTAAAAGGGTAATAAATTCTATGAGAGCCGCTGTGACGTAACGGAGAGCAGATTACAATATTCAAATATTTGTATTAAATTAGTATACACTCATAGCTGAATGGAGTAAAATTGATTTGATTTTAGGTTTGGCCAATTCAATGTCCGGAATGAATTTTACTATATCAGTTCGTATATAAATGTTCCGGGTCGTAAGCCCTATAAGTTTATTGCTCAATTATTATGCTTATGACACACATACCCTCTTATAGTTAACTATTGTAATTGTGTGACAATTGGAATGTATAATAAATGTTTGAATGCATGTATAAATAGCGTGTAGCAGAGGTTTCTTTCTTGTAGATAACCAAATTGATAGCAGTTAGTAGGTTACCTAAACAAAAATTCTATATTTTTTTTGTTTGTAACAGTCGGACTGTCACAAACATTAAAAAATTAAGGATTTTAGACACAGAAAAAAAGAAATTTGTCCAGAATTAAATGACAAATGTCTATCGATGTAGCACTGGGTAACTGGTATTTCTATTGTATTAGAAAACTTTGTATATTTTTATGTTATAAAAAAGCATCAGAATTTTTTAACTTAACATCAAGTTGTGATCCTATCGATGATGTTAAAATGTTGGAATGTACTGTTGGAATTTTGTACAAACTCGATAGAAAGAGAAGACTTCATGTGTTATTTTCACCTAAATAGATGAAATATTGGTTGTATTCAATTTATATTAACTGAACCTAAATTATCTAAGTAAGTAAAGTTAAGTGAGAATATCTCTGAAAATTACCTATTAAGGTGTACAGTTTTTAAATAATCATCTGAAATTTTTTTTATATTAAAAAAATACGCATTATTGTTAAAAAAAAAACTTATTTTGAACTTAAAAAGTGAATAAAAATTAAAAAAATGCTTGTTTTGGTGTAACTAAGAAAACAAAATTGAAGCGTTTTGCAACTTTGAGGGATTTTTATGGACACTTTGATGTTAAAAAAATACTTACGATATCCTTAAATTTATGCATTTTTAACTTATTTTTAATCAACATTATTACTTCGAAAATGTTTTTGTTGATTTTCGGATGATTACTTAGGAATTGCTCGCGCTAAAAATTTTAACTGTTTAGTTATGAAAACTAGACACTCAGGGCTATAATCTCCTTCTTTTGGATTTTCTGTAGGATCATTTCCGTTCGAGTTATCCCTTGTTGAATATCAACCAAATTTTAGATTTTTTTTTAATTTCCCTTAATATTTGCGAGTAGTGTAATGTATATTTGTAAATATTGTGAACTTCCTTAATGTATACTTTTACATCTATACTAATACTGTAAAGAGAAAATATAACATTGTTTGTTTGTTTGTAATGAATAAATAAGTGACTCAAATACTACTCAACCGATTTTAAAAATTCTTTTTATTTATAGCAAGTTATATAATCAGTTCAATTGCTAGTTAAAACGTATTTTACACAGTTTGGACTCCGAAGCAACGAAGTGGTCATACCGAATTTGACATTTCGAGACAAAACATTAACTAAAGCATTTAAAAATAGAGATGTTAATAGTTAAAAACATAATCATAACTAATTTCACAAATGAAAAAGTAGGTCAGTCTGTCAATACTTGTTACATTTTCATGACAAGTATAGTTTTCAACCGATTGACTTGCATGAAAATTGATAGAAAAACAGTTGAGTATTAAACTCAAGAATCGAGTATTGATACAGACGTCATACAATTTTATTTGTTATAATAATTATCGATCAATATAGCAAGAAATAAGAAACGCAGGTAATTGGCGGTATCCGTTGTGCCTATTATCGTGCTTATGGTGATATGTCTTTTTAACCTAGCAATAATGATGTAAAAATATAAACATACGAAAACACCCACGAAAACTAGGTATATGTTTTTTTTCTTATAATATGTAGGTAGATAAGCGCATAGTAGTAACATATGGGAGAAAATGCTGTTTTTTTTTTTTGGTGAAAATGATATGGTAACCCCGCCTGCGCTAACGGGATACGCTGGCGGAGCACCAGTGAAGGGTGATAGATGAGAATGAAAACGGGCCAGTTAGCCCGTCATGATGCATTCATCAGGAATTAACCATGATACTTTCCAGGGAGAACCGCGAGGAGGTCGACCTGGTTGTGTATATAGTTAGCAATGGGATTCTCAGTCTCCATTTCTAACAATCCCTTTCCCCCCAGAAAATGTTGTTAGTACCGTAGATTAAAATCCGTCTTAACTCTTTGAATTTATATTAACTGAATTACTTTATTTGGCAGTCTTTGTTTAAAATGCTAAAAAGTAAAAAGAGAATTAAAAAACAAATTGTAAGATTTCTGTTGAATCCAATTCGAAGAATCCACACAACTCCAGTCTTTATATGGACGAAGAACATGCTCGCAGGTAGATTTCACCGTGTGGCTTCTTTAGAGGATTTACTATAAACTGATCCTATATTTTTTGTGGTATAGACATGAATAAAATATAACTTATATAACTTTATAGTAACTCGCTTCTTTTTATAATCTAATTGAATTGTCTACATAAAATAAAATAGGATGTCTGATATCAGATATCCGCTTCAGTATACTGAATACGAATATATTTTTTACGCAGACAATTTTTTTCAAAAGAAAAATATAAATACAAATAAAAGCGTAAAGTAAGCAAAATAAAGTTGTGCGTCTCTTTTTACGTAAAGTATATTGAAGTCTCTAAAAGTATATTAAACTACCAAAATACACTGCGCTGTACTCGTAGAAGTTGCAAAATTTGCAAGGGATTCGCAAAAGCTCACATACCTAGTTCAACAGATTTTGATCGATTACTCAAATACGTAACATACGTTTATTATTTTCGTTAAGTAATTTTTGTGACTTATAAATAATTAATAAAAAACACTATATTATTTACTCACCCCAGCAGGCTACGGTGTTGTTGACGAACGAATTAGAGGTTAGGATATGATCGATACACGGCTAGCCACGTGTTTATATTTAGCGGCAGCACACGATCGACCGACGCGCGAGTTATAATGAGAATGGACGAGTGGCTTTGCCAGCGGTACGGCTCTGTTCTGCAGAGTATACAACAAACACGCTACGAGAACGCCCGACGATCGAGTACGAGCAACTGGGAGCCGCTGTTGCGTCATAACAGTGTGCCTGTGTGCCGGCTTATCGGGCATTTTTAGTTGCATCGAGTGTAACTGAAATTTGTTACATGTGACGTCTCTGAACCTTCAACGGTCTGCTCACTAATTATGTTCAGTTAGAATTTGATGCAGTGGTAGGCTCTCTATATTGAACGCGCTACTTTATCAGTATCACACACTAACCTGCTTGATAGCGATGTAGGTATTTCACGCTCGATCTGTTGACACTGTGTCGTTATAGTAACGGCATGTTTAGAGGATAATGATTCACACGTTCTAATTTGACTGAAATACTAAAAATCTGCGGCTTCTAAATATAGTTTGTGACACCGTGAGGTGATACAGAGAAATATAAAGCGAAGTCTTATGAATGAATCAGTATTTACGAAAATAATGATAACGAATGAATGAATGAACTTGACCCATTTTTAGTAGGTTCGAGTCAGCTGTGCATTTTAAGAGGTTCACTAGAAAGGTGCCGCGATGACGCGAAATAGTGGGCGCTATTGCATCATTCTATTCTCTGGAGTGGGTAGACAATACGAGTAGAGCGGATATGGAACATGCATTAAATATAAAGAGATGACATAATTTTAAAGTGCACCCAAATTATTATTATTATCATATTAGCCATTAACTGTCCTCCCCATTAGGGGGTTTTGCCAGTAATTATCACGCTTTGCAGGTGGGTTGGCCTTCGCATTTAGGCTTTGGTGATGTTTTAAAAGGCACGCTGCTGTCCTTGACCATTAAATTCCTTGAGTCGCCTCTTATGACACCCATGGGAAAGGAAAAAATAGTCTATTCTATACCAGTACAAGTCTTGTGCTGAGGAGAAAGGGATTGTTAGTAATGGGGGCCTAACATCGCCATTGGTCGCAATGTATCCTATCAGGTGCGGTTCTCCCTGAAAACTATCGTAATTAATTCTTGAATTGGCACGATTGGCTAACTGACCTGCTTTCATCCTCACCTATCATCCCATGCTAATGCCCCAAATGCTTATACCGATAGCGCAGGCAGAGTTACCATTTCATCACTACTTATTAAAAAAAAAATAACCTTACGACTAAATCATTATATGACGAATAAATTTCTAAGTCGGAAATAGTTATTAAAGAATTTAATTTTTTACGCATACTAAAGTATGCTTTATTAAGTTAATTACTACATTATTTAAAAATTGAAGAATACCTATAAGAAATAAAATACCAAAACAAATAAATAAAACGGTTAATACTATTTTAATGTTTTTATTAGTAATAATTTTAATTTACTAAAAAAATAATAATATTCAATTACCAATCATTCCTCACCGGTGCCTCGCTGACATATACCGTCAGCTCAGACAGGGTCGCCATTCCATTATCATTCTTAAAAAAAAACCTCAACATAAGACTAATTGAAAACAGTAAATATTTTTCTTTGATTACGTGGTTAGATGAAAGTTAGAAATCATTTCTAGACATATTATTATATTATTTATTTGTATCTATGAACTTGTATTGAATTTGTATTGAATGAATTATTGTATTTGTGTTGATTGATATTAAATTAAAAATTGTTTTATTTTTCTTGTAGTATACATATATACTTTTATAAACTTTATAAATATAATATTCGGCTACAGACTTTACTGCTTTATGTTAAATGAACGGATATATTACTTTAAACTTCACTTGTATTTTTGATATCAAATTTTTACCATATATAAATTAAATTTTAGCTTCACACACAGATATTATTGAAAACTAAATTAGGTATATAGCTGAATCTAGAGAATATCTTCCTTTTGTGTACGATTTAGATAGTCCAATAGAATATCTATATCTGAAATTTTGCAGATACAATTTTATTCTTTTTATTAACTGACTCAACCTCGAAACGTGCTCTTGATAGTTCTTTCATCGAGTTCTACCGAATTCGGAAGAATACTTTTATAAATAACTAGTTATTCGCCCGTTACTTCGTACGCGTGGATTTCAGAAGTAAGAAACGAAAGAAATTACTACTTCTTAAAGATGTATCAAGATATAATATGTTCCCGTTTTTAAGTCAAACCTAAGAGAATATAACAGTGAAAACTACATCCGATTTGTTGCAGTAGTTTTTGTGTGATGCCAGAACAAACATACAGACAGATATATAGTCAGATAAAATTTCTACGTCTATTAATGTTGGTATGGGGGTTAATTAGTTTTCTTAAATAACTCCCATGTACAGACATTGTCTAGTTACAATTTTATTATATTAAGTAAGATTGTATATATTTGTCAAAAGTATTGTGACTTGATTCGTGTCGCATTTCATGCTAGCGATACTTACACAGCGATAGGTGACAGAAAGGTTAAATGTATCCAGTAACAAGTTTAAGATAGATCTAATGATGTAATCTGAAAGCCAAACTGATTTTGTCCTAGCTTAATTGAAAAAATCATACTTCTAATATAAATGCAAAAGTTTGTAAGGATGTGTGTATGAATGAATGATTGTTACTCTTTTACGTAAAATCTATTGAACGGAATTGAATGAAATTTTGTAAACGGGTACTTTATATGTTAACTTAGAATGTAAGATATTTTATATACTGATTCATGCTCATTACGATATAACTAGTATGTACATCAAATGCTATTATTATACAAGTCTTCAGGATCAGTTAGAAAATGTACGATATATTAAGTTTATTAAAAAATAAATACGCGTAAAGAAATTAGAAACCAAATGTGAGATCACTCCTAGACTAACAGATGCGTCGTATACGGAGAATCCCTTTTAAGTTACTATTACTGCTATTACGTTTTGTATACAATTTCATATTATAAAATTATGTAATATGAAACATATGTTTTACATTACTATTGTCCGTCGCCAGAATATTTAATGACGCAAGATATGCATTTATTGGTGGCGTATAATTTTGCAGTATTTTTTTTTTAATATATGATAATGGAATAGTAACCCTGCCCGTACTATCGGTATACGCTGGCGGGACTCCAATGAGGGTTGATAGATTAGGATGAAAACACAGGCCAATTTGCCCATCATGATGAATACACAAGGAATTCAGTATGAAGGTTTCCAGGGAGGACCACGTGGAGATCGACTTGATAGGGTACACTGCTAGAAATAGGACTGGTAGTCCGCATTACTAACAATCCCTTCCTCCTTATAATTTGCAGTTGGTAATGTAATATTTAGTTGTATCTAATTATTTATTGTTAATTATAATTATATTTATTGTTAATAATTATTATGTGTAATATTTAAGGATGGGGAGGTGGACAAGTGGTCCGTGGTCATCTCAAAATTGTATAGTGCTCACCCTAGGATCAGAAGTAGAGCTTTTAGCTATAGGCAAAGGTATGTCTAGGAGTATATATACTCTTTTTTTATGGTTATGGGGTCACCCCCCCCCCCCTATGAAAATAATAATTAATGCACCAATTTGTGGTATAGAATTTATAGTTTACTAGTTGGAAATGTTTAACTTAATGGACGAGTTATAGGCAGCAGCATCCCTCTTAAAACATCACTAAAAGTCTAATCGCGGTTGCCAACCCGCGTACCAAGCATTGCAACTATTGGCAAAACTCTCTAAGTGGGAGGCCTATGTTCGATATAGGATAGTTATTGATAGATAATGAATGTATATGTATGTTGCAATTCCTTACGATGATCTAGATTTTACAGTAGGTGATATAAAGATGACGTTATTGTTGTCATAGCGTTGTTTGTTATTGATTTTGTCTTCTGATTTGCAATTTTGCGAAGTTTTAAGTGTAAAGATCTTCTTAACCCGTATATATATAAATATAGCAACAAGCTTTGTCCACTTCTAAAAATATTGTCGCTACGTATTGTAAAAAATACTGGCCATGAGCCACCTTTATTTGTTGATACTCTGTAATTATGATAAAGAGGTATCGCTCTATTTTATAGGGTTAGTCAAACATTACCCCTGTTATCGAGGTTACCTCCAACCAAGGACAGTTTTATTTGTTAAGTTTATTATATCTTTTATATCTCTGTTATCTCGTTCACTGAAATAAAAAGATTTTATTTACAAGCGTTCATGATAATATTAAGAGTTATTTTTTATTTTTTAAGTATTTATTAGTCCTGCCAGTATTAAAATTTGGATGCAAAAATTAAAACTGAATAGATGTTCAATTTATTTAAATAACAATTTGAATGAAATGTATTGTTGCTTTACTAAACACTGTCTTAAGAGAAGAATGTGAATATATTTGGAAAAGGTTTTTTGAATAAACTTCTAATAGGAAGTCACATAATATGTGACAAATTTTATTTGTTGAGTATATATTATATACTCAACAAATAAAATTTGTTACAAGAAAATATGTCATTAATAATATTGTTTGTTCAATAATGTAAAATATGCCATAAGACTATAATTATATTTTAATGACTTATGTTACACCTAATGTATTATTTCTACAACTTCTTGTCGTTACTTGAGAAGTTATATTAGACGATATATTTTTATTAAATTAACTTTTGCCCGCGATTTGGTATGCATGGATTTTGGGATAATACACACTCGTACGTTAGATTTTAAGTTCGATATTCAGGGACACAAATAAGAGACCTAATTAACTAATTATTGAGAAACACAGTATTTCCGAACCGATACGATATTCTAACTTATAAGAAATATAAATACTTATTCCTTTTTAAAAGGCCGGCAGTAGACTTGCAATTCTCCGATGTTGTGGGTGCTCACAGGCGGCGGTAGTCACCTACTCCTATGTGTTAAAAAAAAAACTGTGAAAACTATATCAAATTTTGTATTGTGGTTCTTTCTCAATGTTTGATTTTTGGATTCTATTAAGATCCTTCACATTTATTTAGAACTTTTCGAGTTCATTTTTCTTAAGTATCTTCTACGTAAAGACATTATCTATTTATATTTTTATTGTATGTGTACAAATAATATGTAACCTACTTAATATAATTTCTTGTCAACTCGA